CCATCAAAATCAGTCGTATGCAGAGTTATTTCGAGAGATTTAACATTACTTGTTCACATCTGTGGAGAGAGTTAAACAAGTTTTTGTCAAAATTGTGGGAGGTGAGAACCTGGGCAGTGTGATGGAGAGATTGTTAGTCGTGCGAATGGCGCTGAATAAATAGTCCGATAGATGTTTGTCTTCAGGTTATGAGATGTAGGATAAAGATTTCAGCTCAATAGGAGAGGTGCTAGGTTAGCATAGGTACGTAGAAGAATAATTAACAATAGAGAAAACGCTGAGCACCAAAACTCGGCAAAGGATGTTGAGGGATTTGAGCGTAATCGTGTGAAGATTCTTGTGACTCAGGATGATATTGAAGGGATTAGCGGCAACGACGGCGATGGCGCCCATGACGACGTCAGGGAGATGGAGCTGCTGCTCCTCAACTGCCTCCCTTCGGCTCTTACATGCAATGTGCTATGCTAATGACATCAAGCGCCGCGACGGCCCATTCAAATGATAATCGTCTTCACTATAGGTGATCCAATTTGTGCACACATCCCTATATGATACATTCAAGCGTTGTTGAATACAAAGAAATGAGATTTCTGCTCTCTTGACATCATGCAGTTCAAGCTTCGTTAGTTCGATCTTATAGTCGAAAGCATCATTACGATTAGTGCCAGTGAACGCATACCAAATGAACCACGATGATATGGAGAGGGTTGTCCTTGATGGACATGAAAGAGCTGCACACAGGAGTGAGTTCACAGCTGTTTAGCACCAGCCAGCACACGTATATATGGAAGGCACGAAACGACTAACCAACGAAAAACATCTCAAAAACGATTGAAGACATGGAAAACGAAATTGAAGCGATTCATTTGGAAGTGTCGAAAGGGGATTACCACCAGCAGCCATTGAACCGCTCGACGACTCAATGCATCATTGCGAAAACACCTCATTCCGATTCTACAGCTTCAATATCCGTTGAATATACATTCGAGTTTCTCGAAAACGAAGTTAGAATTCTTAAAAGGACAAGCAGGTGTTTTGGAAGAAATTCGATATCGTAGGCAACACAATAATTAGAATTGGGTATCAATTACGACATTCACGATAAAAACGCTACCAAGTTTCCCCGAGGGAACGGCTAACGGAACGGAAAACCCGTAACGGCTTCACCGATTTTGACGAAATTTTGAAATCCGGCAGATTTTGTCTTATGCTTTCGCTGCTGATTTGCATGAATACGACGAGCTAATACTAAAGTTGGCACCCTGCCAAAACAAATCGTTGTCATTGACAAGAACCGTCTGTGACATTTGAAGGCAACAATGCAATGAAGAATTCTGAAAACAGATGAGTAGTTCGGGTAATTCGCTTCGATGCAAATCCATTTGTTGATGGGCTGTCCGGAAGCCGTGCTGCGCTCGTACGGTTCAAGAATTACTGTCAGCCACCGCTGCTTTGAAGGACTTTGCGAGGGGAGGGGGAGGGGAACTAAAGTACTGCATCAAACATCTAAGGAGCTCTGAAGTCCTGGAAGTATCCACAGAGCAGCTATTCCTAATAGCAGACGCTCCTTTCCACCTTTCTTTTTACAGCGACGAAATTCGCTACCTCTGAGCACCAGCGACTATAGATTCCTTACAGTTCCGTTGAAGTAGGGTCATGACTGAGGTCCGTGAGTAATAGGAAACTTCTCATTAGAAAGAGCCCTGAACGGGAAGCTTCTGCACTTCTTCACATCCGACTCTTCCACTAGTAAGGTTGAGCTTTGCCCCAAAAGTTACTGTTTAGTAGAAAACAAAAAATGAATTGTAGTAGCTACCCAGTCAACTTTTCAGCAGAATTTGGGTAAAGAGTAAGCAAAGTTAACGTTGCTGCATTTTTTAGAAGGAACACCCAGCCACGTTTGTTCAAGAGTGATGGACTAGAGATGGGTTCGCTCGGGCCACTGTGGGAAGACAGAGGTAATGCTTCAGCGCTACAGACTATTATGCAATGCTACACTGAATGAGCACGGCCTGCAACGGTAGAATTAAACGAGCCACCATACTACAAATTCAATTTAGGCCAGAGAACTTCTTATGTTCAAACCTGTGAACCTAAGCCTAACTCGATTTACATTCTTCTCGATACAGAATGTCAACTAACGTCAGTTACCATTTAGCAAATAAGAGTAAGGTAAGGCTTCTGTAGCCAGAAGTTCGCTGAAAAGATTACCGAGTACGGCTTGATTGAATCCATCAGAAACCTCGAAGAATATAACTGATTGAATCTGCGCACGTTGATTGCACTTGTAGCGCATTTAGGTCGATCAGGAAATGCAAGAGGAGAAATTATCAGTCTACCGATTGCACTTTACACTGGACCACATAGACATTATCGCGATTATAATCGTTTAACGAACGGATAGCTATAACAAATTTCAGATAGTCACATGGCAGCTGACGTAATCGATTTCGCTTATCAAAGTGTTCAAATGTGAGGCCGCTTGATGATAATCATAGCTTATCTAATCATAGAGTAATTATTCAAGCATAGCCTTCTCATCTCGGTTCTCATTTATTAGATTAGGGAACAGTTCCTCTACAGCCACTGAAATCCCACTTGCAAAAAACATCTTTATCACCCACGGAAAATCGAACATTCGTCCATAGTTTGATGCCAAATGACCGACGTTACCATGGCGCCAATTGAAAATTTACAATAATCAGTGGTGTGTGGAAAAAAAAACAATATATTTTACTCTTCATTCTACAGCTTGCAGTGCGGTATAAATGGCGAGAGATCATTTGTTATTGAAGGGCGTTCATCCCGGTCGTTCATCGCAGGTTTCTTGCAGAAACCTTACGGTGTGTCATATTTCTCTCTGACCGGCGCTTTTGCGGCAGAAGCGGGATTCCCGCACAAAACGTGGAAACCTGGGTGAGTTCGAAATTCGTTTTGCTTATGTTTCTTGGTGGGGCTCCCGACGGAAAGTTGGAACTGCTAGAGGAGATAAGGCGCTTGGCGGGTTAGATGGTAATTTTAAACTTGAACCGCGTTTAGGCCTCAGAAGACGACGATTTTGTCGAAACGTAAGGCCGATTGAATAAATGTTACACCTATCACGAACGGCAGAAGAAACAAATACAAACAAGAACATGTTTTACTTTTTCGCTTGTGCAGAGAAGAATTTTTTCTTATTCGGTAAAAGCACAACTATAATACTATAAGAGTTTCCCATGAATCCGGATATCACCCAGGACATACTTTCGGAATAGTTGATTGTATTCGATAGTCGAAATAAAAAGAGAATTTATCAAATATAACAACGATCCCCTAGTGCGGGCCCCAGTAGGGTAGCTTTATTACGATATGTAGCAAAGACAGACGGACTCCTGATGAAAGCGGTACACACCGAAGTATATCAGAAGCTTGTACGGGAATATTCAGGGCTAATTGTGATGCTTTTGAATTCATCCAGATTCCTTTGTTTCTGTTTGTGTATTGCGACATATGCAGCGACCGTAAAACACCACCTCACCACAGGCCCGCCCCCTCCACAAACTCCGCCCACGCCAAGTGACCTTCCTCACTGCTCAATCCAAGGAAGTGCTCCTGGCGCAATGCTTCTTGTAGCCTCACCCGGCTGCTATGATGTTTCAGCCATGACAAGAGAGGCATACTTTCGAGATCTATGCAGTGCTGTTCGAATAGGATTTTATCAATCACCAGCTCTTATTTAGACATGGTGGTCATAGTTTGCAGCCAGCCTGTGTATTCCCCACTTCCGCTCAGGGTACACTCATTCTGCTTGATTGGAATCTACATTTCCATGTTGCAAGACTGTCAAAATGCATTTGGAACGTAGTAATAGTACCTTCATAACCCTTCATAACCAAAGGAAATGATAGGGTAGTAGTGCATACCGACAAGAATTTGTAAGGAAGGTAGATAGATGAACACACAGCCGCGGTGGTCAATGTGTTAATATTAGCTCGATTGTAGATGTGGAATGAAGTGGACATAATTTTCTAGATAAAGAAGGATGAGCATGAGATCAGTGTTGAAAAGAAAACGCCTTCGTCGAGCGTGTGAAACTGAAATCCTCGTTCGTGGAAAAACGACCATCTCAACGAAGCGTTATGTGGCACTTTAATGCGTTCTGCACGACGCGATAGACTTGACTAGGGCATTTCTTTCTAGGAGCGGCTTGCTTTGGCTCGTCAAAATAGCGACCGTGGCAGTCCTTGATATAGATGTAGCCATAAATATGATTACTCTCATCTCACATCTCGTAGTGTATAGATGAAAAAATACCCCGTGTTCCCAGATTTAGTCAACAGAATGGCAACGCCTATTGGCAAAACGGGTGCCGGGAGCACGCATGTGAAAAACTACCATAATTTTCTAGAAAAAGAGCAGGATAATTATTTGAACGGGCTTTGGTACAGGGCATATGATTAGCACAAAAAGACGGCGATACGGCGTTAACTGCTATGACAACTAATAGACTGGAAGTAGAGCGTACAAGTGCTCAAGTGGACCTTCTCACCTTGACAACGATGCCCGACAAAAAGCATTTCTCGCTACCGTATTTCACAAGTTTCTCTATTCAATTGCAATCGTGCAATAACACACACACTCCGTACATATTAATTGCTCCCAAATGAATTTACAGAAAGGTGAATAGGTATGAAGCAGTGTTGCTAAGCTACTCAGTGCTCGTTGATTTCTTAAGATATTTTTGAATATTAAAAGAGGAAATCTCATGCTCAAAAGCAATATAATGTGCACGTCCTCCACACCAACTAGCGATGCAATTAATGAATTGCCATTAGAAAAGGCACTTTCCTCTATTGAATACTTGCAGCTAAAAAGAGGATTAAGTGCAATTCGACCTTATACAATTCCACCTCAATCTCACAAAATGCTGGCGCTCATTACGAACGCTAATGGGGGGACTATCGGAGAAAAACAAAGGACAATCTCGTCTTCTCAGGGATCACGCTCTCGCGTCAACTCACCTTCACAAGTCCGTTTGAATCGGAAGCAAGTGAACCGGTTGGTCCGCAACAATCGAAACTTTTGCCACCATTTTTATCGAACGACGGCTTTGGTGTACGGTAGTCTTCTTGCTCTACCGATGGAGCTGAGGCAATCGTGGCACCCTGAAGAAATGTTCATGTTGTTTTTTTTCTGACAAAAACTATACGTACGTGTGAATAGGAACATCTACGACTAAAGCCCGTGCATATATAACCTATGAGGTAGGTAATTATGCACAGGGGCGACAGTTGGAGGTGAACGTGATTTTTAGAGGCAGTTTTGTCACATTTTGTAATTTCAAATTGGAATCGCCCCAATTTTCAGAAAAGCAGTTCACAAAACTGGACAGTTCAGACTTTTACCCCATCAGATCATTGCAACAATGATGCAACCTTCTCAGCACCGGTTTCAGTGATTACCGATACCTTCGTAAACCCGGTCCGCAATTCCCAGCTCGAGTTACTTGTACGAAGAGTTGTATCAGTGGAGAGGTGACCCCCGCAAGCTACTTGTTGACCCGCTACGTTGTCGGTCAAGTCTATGAGGGATGCACCAATGGTTCGACTTCGAATCCCGACGATGAACGCAGGGTCCACCGTCCGTTCGCACTACTAGAACGAGGTAGTCACATTTGTGATTTCGCGAAGGGGGATCACATTTGGGGGTTGAGCGAGGAGCAAGGTTAAGGATCCTTAAAAAAGTGCGGGTAACAAGTAAATCCTGAAGTTGGGCCGATTTCACAAATTTTACGAACTTCCTATTGAGGGAATCTCAAACGACACCACATCACCACCATCAGCCTTAGCAGGCCCTTCTCTACACGACCCTACCCTCACGCTGTTTTTATAGCATTCGATTTTGGGGCCAATCGACACGCTCCAACTCCGCCCACATTTCCCCGTTCTTCCAGAACTGCTGTAGAGTGCACACCGAGGGCGAATGTTCCATTTCTGCCTAGTTCAAACTTCTCTCGTTGGTTGGTTTTCCACATATAGTCCGGACGACTTTTGTGCAGTTTCCAGTGCCTGGTTGATTCCTTCTTACCGCCACGTACCATAATTCACCGAAGCCCCTACCAACATCTTGATGTTTTATCCGGATTCTATCCTAATTTCTTACCATTCTCCTCTATCAGAAATGCTTAGGGAAAGATCACGATCACTTGGTACCGATTAAATATTGAGGAAAGGTGCGGTGTGCATGAAGAAGCACGAGAGAAGTACCATTCCGAGGATGGAGCCACCTGCTCGTCGTTACGATTTCGAAGTAAAGCAAGCTTACGGCTGACGCAGAGGTCGCTCATTTTAGGCATGAGGATACATTGTCGTCTAGAGCTGGACGCGTCTTTTTCATAAGTATTCTTGATCACGATTCGTGCACTACCACGCCGCTGATTGCGCTCCTTTTGCCACGACAGAAGCGTTTATCGTCTCCATGGATAGGTTATTACCATGTCTTCTCAAGTCCCCTTCTACATGAACAATAAGTATTAGGTCGGTCCACAAGTTATGCAACAAAATGGCCGAATTTCATATTTAATATTTTCATTATGTTTTTGTTCCATTCATCCGACATGCTACCCTCCATCAATATCTACAACCTATTGCCAACACCTAGTAGTTGCTTGATGCCTCCCTTGTAGGACTCTACTGAATTCTGATCGAAGAAAGATCAGATGTCGATTTTGACATCATCATGGTTAGGATGAGCTTTCTTCTCTAGGAGATGGTTTGGAGAGGGAAGCAGGTGGTCATTATTTGCCTCGAGGTCAGGGCTATAAAGTGAATACGGAAGAACTCTCCGTCCTAGGGTCTCGAAATTTTCCTGAATTTTCTAAGCAAGAGGTTTTTCAACGATGTCATACAAAAGCAAACTTCCTTGTTTTTTCTTCGTATTAAAAGCATTGCATTCGAGCTGTGGATAGTTGACTTTCGCGTTGACTGCGACATCTACACGGAGGGGTTTCCAGAGCTTAACTTCTCCCGTGTTCCACCAAAAATCCGAGAAGGCCCTACTTGGACGAGGTTGAACTTAAGCAATAAGATCTCCCGAAGCGTTTGAGCTGGACTACCGACGCTTGTTCATTTGTTAGTAAGCTGTACCCACTCATCATCTTCAGCAAATGTGATGGATGGTCAATCGTAGAATCCCTAATAAGTCGACTTGAACATAACGGTGTTAGATCGTGTTTGGAGCTGAATCGGGCTCAAGACACGTGGGGACCAAACTCTACATTTCCGGATCTCTACAAGTCTTTGGAGGTGCCATAATGCTGCCCCCTTGTCGCATCGGAACCGCCCTAGCAAATGATCGATACTCTATCCAGATCCCTTTTCAACGCCGTCAGATATAGCATCGTGATTGTCAGTCAGTGGGTTATTTTCAAATAAAAAAGTCAACGCTGAGCAGAGTGAAGGCCGTTGCACCGTGGTTTGAGAGAGCTCGCCCTCGCCTATCTTCTGGTCAACTCGTGGTCTAGCATGACTTGCGGGACATCCCAAGCAGTACTCGTAAAGTTAAGGACATCGAGAGCCCTCTCGCGAAATCGGTGTAATATCCATAATAAGTAAGCAGACAACGAGCTGGACCGTTGGCTGAAATTGCAAAGGTTGATGCTACGTCAGGAAATATGTTGCGTATTTTCAGGAGTTCTCCCTAAAATTCTATAGCATTAAATGTAGTTTGTTGCAACTTATGGACCGACCTAATATATCACGAGGTCAGCCATTTATCTCTTATAAAACTGACGAAACCATGCGAACCTTCTGCGTTCAAAAGAGCCTGTTCGCAAAATTAGTCTTTGCCTTGAAGGCAGTGATTACGATAGATTCAAGACGAGTTTACAGGAGACTGGTGGTGCTCAATGGCACACCAGCGGCGAAAAAGGTGGAGCCGTCAAGACAACGCAAATCGGGACCTCCTTTTTTGGCCGTTGGTTTTCACTCGTGAACAGGCAACAGCTCAGGAAGGGGACGTACGAACGAGTTCATAGCAACGCGTTTGGTGGTAATCCATGCTCCAGTAGAGTTGCTTCAATAGTGCCGCTGCTAGCATCCCAGTTCGTCTAAATCACTAAGTAAAGCGATGGGCGGACCGCTTTCGGGGGTGGAATGCTTTCGAAGTCTAGCCCAGCAACCAGCGCATCGTTCATCGGGGAAGTGCCACACCTTAATTCCTTGGCAGCAGTGGTGGCCCATCATGAAAACGTATGCTATGTTCACCTCAAACGGAGGGGAACGAAAATCTCTCCAGTTGCTTTGAGAAAGGGCCTTCTCGTAAAGTATTAGAGTATGTAAAACCCGAAATACGCTGAAGAAAGGTAATCAGTCAACAAAAACCTTGAATTCAAAGGGATTCCCGTTTCCTCGGATCGGGTGGGGTGGGGAGGGGGAAGGATAGCATACGGCCCATGAAATTCAACGGCGATCGACGACGTTCATTGAGGCTATTGATGGAAAAGGAAATCGGTCTGCTCTGGGAGCTGTTGATAAAAATCTCCTTCTCCAAGGCTCACCTGCCATCGATATCTCTAGAACAGTGCCACGCCTAATATCTAGAGATCCGCGACTAACGCAAGCTACCTCGCTTTGTAGAAATGTTACTATAAATTTAAAGGATGTCACGCCTCCATTTCGCATTAATTCCTGTTAAAACATCAAACATTACTTCTTTTTGAAGTGATTTCACATTACCCATTCAAATTTCAATTTTCATAACAAATGTCTATTCTGAGCTAAGTTAATTAAAGCACAAGCACATACCAAACTGCGATTTCTGTAGCTTTTTCTTCGATCGCTGAGAAACTTTCTATAATGAGCCGAATCTACGGACTGGCCGGCTGAAAACGAGATGCATTTTACAGACGTAATTCAATTAGAAATTAGAAAAAATGTTGTTGGTTTACTCACACACTGATGGCCGATGGTGTCGTACGGGAGATGTAGCAGCCGGAGCTTGAAGAGAAAATTGCGGTTGCACAGAGCAAAACGTGCGCTCCATCTAAAAATAGTCTGTTTCTATTTTTACATCAAAATAGAAGCATTCATTAGTGACGGTTGGAATGAGTGCGGTTATAGCGCTGATTGTGTGGGAGAGCAAGCTTAGAAGAGTTTTCGAAGAAGACGGCAAGGGAAGATGAGATATGAAGAAAGGCAAGAATGTTCGCCGCCTTTATTATGTATGGTTGCGTGCTACTAGAGGATGCAACATTGTACCTACTTTTAATAATCACATAGATGATTAAAATTTCCTGATCCCACAACTATGCACGCCTCAAGCTGAAGGGAACACAGCGATATCGGCATATAATCCTACTTACTATAAAGGCTTCGTCTGTCGTCTGTCGTCTGTCGTTCTGTTTGTCTGTCACGAAATTCCCTAGCTCTTCGGGATCCACCTGGAGGGACCGGGTCAAGTGTGGAATGGGTGGGCAAGGTCTCACGTAATACAAAACACACATCAGCTAAGCGGAGCCAAGCCAACAGAGGGCGTGGCGTGCGTCGAAATGAATTGTACCGAAGACCACGATTTCAGTTTCAGTGGGAAAACAGCCTCGAAACTGGGCCAAAAAGTGGGTGAAGGTGTGCATTGGAAAGTCACATCGAATTAGGGAGACCCACCCCCAGTGGGCGGAGCGTTCTCCAAAAAAGCTTGGTGCTTTGTGAAAAACTTCAAAACTCGGTTGGGAGGACAACTACAGTGCAGAAAACGAACATGATGCAGGAAGCAAGTCTAGGTGCCCAGCACACACAAGTTTACGGGAGCCCTACAGTGGGCGGAGCTGCTCTGAAGTTGAACAGCATTTTCTACGAGTCTTATTTAATGCGGGCCGAGACATACTTAATGAGCCAGGAGGGAGAGTAAAAAGGTGGGTAGAGTTGGGTGGGAGTGGAGGGTCAACGGCTCATGGGGTGAGCGGGGCAATGACCAAAGTAGGCGGATTTTGCGACGAAAATTCATAACTCGTGCAAGAATCCTATGAGATAGGGAAACGGGGTAGGGTGGTGAACGGGAAGAGCCTCACTGCTATCACTGGTATAGCACCGCCACCTAGTGGGCGGAGTTTGCCAAAAAGTGGCGGGGAGTAAAGTTTGGTTCCAAGAGGTCCCAGAGGACCCGGTGAAAAAGGGGGGTAGAGTTCGCAGTCGCTATACCCCCGGGGTCCGCGAAAGGAAGGGGCAAATGCTATTGGGGGCAGGGCACGCGTCGGAGTAGACGGAGTTCGCCACGAGATTTATCCGGGAGCAGTCCGGAGACCGAGAAAAGAGGGTAATGGTTGACGAAGAAAGAGCGGATAGAATTTAGCGGAGAGTTCAGATATTCGTATTGTATCAAGCCAAATTTGGAAATTTTCGTCGCACCATCAAAATTCGCCGCAGATCTGTGTTGCGCGCGCAATGCGTGCGGCGCCAACTGGTTATTAGGTAAACAACCAAGGAAGAAAAGAGACGACAAGAAGAGAGATAAAAACGTAAGTACGTAGAGGGTAGATGAAAAAAGGCTGGTTCGGGAAACACACGTAGAGGGAAGGCATTTTCTTACATGTCGCATATGAGGGGAGAAAAACACGGGCGGCGCGGACACGAGCGCGTGCCGGTGACGTCAGAATGACATCACAGCTGCGGCAGATTGGAAAAAATGCTGGCGCTATACCAATTTGGTCAATCATTCGTGCCGCGAGCGAAATGATTGTGTTATGATCAGGTACCATCCTTGCCCCAGAGATTGAAATTTTCTGGAAATGTAGAGAAAGTTGAAGCTTTCATGCAGAAACCCTCAGGAGTACACAGTCAATTATTTGAATAAACTGAGCATTCCTCGTATTCGATTCCTACCTGCTTCTATTCATCAGACAGTTATGTAAGGGCACAACAGATGCAGGAGATTTTGATGCACCAAAAAAGTATTGCAAGCCTGGCCCTTGCCCGCTTCCTCGGCGCCGTTGTGACATCACCAAAACGCGAACGCGTCCGCGCCGCCGGTGAGCTTTTCCATGGAGCCGTCGCATATTAGCTATTTTGTCGTCGCACCGATTGTCGCCGTTGACGGAATTTTTACATTCAAATATTTTTGAAATGTCGCTCTATGGCCAAACGCAAACCCTCCTTCATTGCTCTCACTTCTACAAAGACATAATCTGCCACTGCTGTCGAGATTAAGATGTAATGCCGTAATTCCAGCTTAGACGATTGGTTTTCCAGAGACAGTAACTGCTATGTAAACCCGCTCCCAACCAGTGTTCCGGAAAACGTAAGGGTTCAAGATACTTCGACGGCCACATTGAGTCCCGTGCATTTTCTGATGTCGTTCGGGTAGGAAGTAATTATAGAGTTTTTCATGGAACGATTTGTGCTCTTCAATATCCATTGCCCATCGCTCTCGGCCGAGCGATTGGCGAGCAACGGACAAGCGATGGAGCGATTGCGATAGCTCCATCGCTTATCCGTCGCCGAGCGTGACGGCGGTCTGACCAGGGTCAAGCGTGCGTTGAGGAATCCTCGACATGTCACAGAGGGGGCAGGAGGGGGGGGGTCGTAGTTGGCCCGCTAAGGAGAGATCGGGCCCGATCGATACAGTAGGATCATCGTCGGAGGACAAACATTAACGATCGAATCGATACAAGGCCAGAGTATTTCCAATAACAATTGATTCCGTCCACACAAAATCTTCGTGATTTAGAGATGTCGCTAGCAATTCTTAGTGACTTGTTAAGTGTTTCATCACAACCCAAGTCAAAGGATCGAATTCGCAGCATTTATCCAGGGATATTTTATCTTTTAAGTGGTCGTCAAATCTAACAGATGTTTGAAGGCCCGGCATGCCATTTTGTTTCCAGTTGGTTGCGCGGCCTTAGCTACGGCTTAGATACGAATCTTTAATTCATAAAGAATCAAAGAGGGTAGCTGAAAGAGGCTATCCATGATTAAATACAGAGCAGGAGTAACACTATTAACAAGAAAACGCAGCTTCAGCGTCAAATTACACAAGCATGTAGCCTTTGAAGTTGAGACCGTAAAGCAATTTTACACATTTTGGTAGAGAGAAAAGCCGCGAGGATTTTATGACTTGCTTTTACTACAGGCACAGCGCTCCTTCAAGGAGCATATAGTCGTTTGCGAAGTGCTAATGAGCGAAAAAATACTTTTCGGCGGTAACTCGGCAGGAAATCCTAACGTGGCCGCTTTTAATTAGTGAACGTATATTGAGCAGTTTTAGCTGCCTATTTGGAGATAGAGCAAATCTTCTAGTTATGTATGAAGTATTTAATCTTTGCCAGATTGCTTGGCTAAGTTGAACCGGAAGTTAGGGCTTTTGAGAAGGTGAAAACCTCGCAGTATCACGTTGAATTTTCCTTCATTATTTTTGCAAAAATCTCGACGTGGCGATTCTTTTTGAGATGCTAGACGTATGAAGTTAGCTTTGAGAGTGTTGATAGAGAATCTCTAGTTTTGTATGCATATCAACTTTTGAATTTGATGGAATGAAGGCAGGTAATTGCTCGGACAAAGTGTAAAAACTCGTGCTGCGTGCTCGAATTCTCCGTGGTTATTTGATCCTAATTGTATTATTATCTATATAACTTCATTGTAATATTCAGTATATGGTTAGGAAGAGCTCTTACAAAACTCTCACTCAGCTTCACTTGAACAATTCGTTTTTATTTTCTTTGAAGAGAGTTCATAATCATTTGAATATATTGATTCAAGATTTCAATAGTAATAAGCTGCTCACCGATCGTCAGCTTAAAGTTCAGTCAACCAATCATCAGTGGGCGAAGGCGATTTGGTAGAAGTCCTTTGGCGAAGGGGACGTGTAAATTGAGAAGATAATCTGGTGTAATACTGAAAAATTTGTAATTCTGTGGAGGAAGTAAACCAAAGAAGGGGTTGTCAAGTACGATATCATTTCTAGTGACTGTTTTGACGTTTTTGCTAGTTTTCGTATTGCTCGTTTGACTAGGAACTCGTCATTAAAGACCCTGCTTTGACTTTTCAACTTTGTACAACTTTTTAAAGGAGTTTTTTTTGTGGACGACGGGTAGAGCGGCTTTTTTTATGAGCAGGTCTTGGTGGAATTAGACTAACTTTTCATAGTTGCCGGTCTTTAAAGAGGGTTGTTTAAATTTGAGCTTCGGCCTTCCGGCGAGGGAGGGGGTCGTATTTCCGAATTTCCCCTCGTACGCGGCCTCGGTTGACCGTAGGTCTGACCCGTCCGCGTCTCTGCATTCTCGCGGCGCGACGGACTTCTGTGGGGTAGCCGGAGGATAGTGGGCAGGGTGAAAATAGTGTCGAATTTTGTTGAAATGGCCGCCTTTTTACGACCCCCCCCTCTCATCAGAGACTCCGATAGGACCCCTATTTACCCTCCGCACAAAACGGAATAACCTGTGGTGGACCAGGAACCAAGATAAAAACAAGGAATAGACTTACTAGAGAAGAACAGGAGTAGAAAAGGGAAGAGGGTGCTGCCTAGAGGCTGTTAAAGTAATCGTCCACGGAAAAAGCTCCGCCTTCATTACCACAGAAAACGATACATTGAAGGAATCATCCACGGAAAGAGTGATCATTTTGTCTTGTGTGTAGGATAGGTATTATCGAAACTAACGCTTATGTTCCGTTCTTTTTGCTATGCTCATGAGGCTAGGGGCCTAAGGTCGTTTTTCTGTGGTAATGGGGGCGAAGCTTTTTCCGTGGAAGATACCTTTAACAATCTCGCGCAACTGTAAAGTGGCACTAACTACCCCCGGTCGCTTCGTGCTTTGTGCTTGGAGCACGCCAGCTGGAAAAATCGCCAAATGTACCCCAGAACTTTAACTTTCTTCAGTCACAATCATTTTAGAAAACGAATATAGCATCTGAATGCATAAGTTTTCTAATATCTAAACAGGGCCGAGCTTTTTTTTTCAAGTACGTCTTATCTCAATAGTTGGAGGCGTTGAGGACTTGTTGAGGAAATTGAAATTTACATGCGAGTTTTCCTCTTTGGAGACTGTAGCTTTG